GTATATATAAGAGGGTGAACAACGTGACGGGATAATGTGTGTGTAGGTAGTAAGTAATTGAACTGCAGTCACAGGGTATTGTTGAAGTTAACGTTCGTTCGTTATAGTTTGTTATTGTCTCAACTGTTGGAGTTGAGTGTATCGTAAAGTTATATTAGAAAGAATAAACCAGTTTTATTAAGTAAGGACTTGTGTCGATAAAGTTTCGTCGGAACGAAGTTACGGAAAGTTAATTAACAAACGGAGACGTAACAATACATTCAAAATACACCACGAACCAAACATGAATGTACATTTCTACAACAAAGCTAACAACCACATTTAACAAAACATAACCATGTACACACCAAAATTTCCAATTAACATACAAAACACAAATATCAGACTAAATGAAATAGGAAACCCAATTACACATCTACTAACAAAAACAATTACAGAAGCAGAAGTTCAACAAGCCATTAAAACCACCAAAAAGAAAGCACCAGGAGGAGACGGCATACAGGCTATCCTCCTCAAAAAGGCACTCGGATATTGTATGGACACCTTACAGCACTTTTTAACTTATCACTAAGTACTGGATACATTCCGGTTTCTTGGAAGCAAGCGATTGTACTAATGTTTCATAAAGAAGAAAAGCCAGCAAATAAAACAAAGAACTGCCGCTCGATCAGCCTGACCAGCTGTGTAGGAAAAATTCTCGAACGAATAACAAGCAACAGATTCTCAAATTACCTAGAAGTCACTTCAAAATTACCAGAAATTCGAAATGGTTTTAGAAAATTCAGACAGACAACAGGTCACTTAGTTAAACTAACAGAAATAATAATAGATAGCTTTAATAAAAATGAATGCACTGTCATGGCACAATGGTCTTAAGTTCCGTATGACGGAATTGGAACTACTGAGGGTGATTATTCGCTGGTTATCCAACTTCCTGGAAAATAGAACATGCTAAATAAATGTAAGGGGAACCTACTCTGAGACATTCACCCCAGAGCCAGGTGTACCCAAAGGAGGGGTAGTTAGCCCTATTCTATTTATTATGTACGTGAGTAATATGTCTCTAAAAGACACAAATCAAGGTTTTGCATCACAATTCGCTGACGATGTTGTGGTCTGGAAAAGTGCCCCCCCCCCCCACCACACACTATCCATAGCAGCACCAAATTTACAACCATTATTAAATAATATAGAAGAATACTGTTAAAAATATCGAATAAACTAAACGTCCCAAAAAACCAATTACTAACTTTTACAAGATTAAGCAAAGATGTTAGGCACATGATATGGAGTACGGCTTACCTACATAACATCGCGTAAGAGGAGGGAGAATAGTGAAATAAGCTAACCAGACTCCATAGGAATACCACGAAGTTCTTTTTATAGACAATAAGAATCTTTTACAATAACAGCAACAGAATCCAGGAACATACAAATATACTAAATGAAAATATGGAATGAGGATCAGTAAAACAGAAATAATAGCTCTCAGTCAATCCCCTAAACTCCTCAACATCCAAGCCAACAACAAACTAACAAAGACAAGAACTCAAGTACCTTGGAAGAATATTCATAAAGGATGGACTGAAAGATAGAAATATGATGCTAGAAAGCAAATAATAAAAGCTACCAACTGAGCCCTCTCTTGACGAAATTGGTAATATCATTGGACACTAAATGTAAATTCGTATTTGAAATCTTCTTTCCAACCGTTTGCTACCAATGCTAGATGTGGAAAGAAATGAAAAGAACATCACAAGTGAAATGAGATGCCTGTTTTGAACAGTAGACAGAGCACAGAGATAAAAATCAAGAATGAAGTCATCAGAGGTATGGTTTGGAAAAAAATCTAGTGTTACGTCTCTGT